GGATCAGAAAACGAAACCAGCAGATACAGAACATTGCAGCTCAAACCAGCTGGTGGCAGCTGGAGCCTGTTAACACGAGGGCTTCACTTGCAGGTGGAGCAACCACAAAGCCAGCCAGACTCGCCACCTGAGAGAGGAAGAGGAAGACGAAACACATGCCTGACAGTCTATAGGGCCAATAAGATCAGTGGGTGTGTGTGGGTGTTCCTTTGCTCCGTGCAGGTCTGAGAGCCACATCAGTGTTCTTCTTCAAAGCTGTGTTCGTACCTCTCATCAGTTAAGAACCTGCTCGATGACGGACTTATGACCTGCAAAGGGCACTGGGCCCTCCTGATGAAATCCACAGCGTGTGTAGATTAGTTTATTAACCGGTGACGCATAACAGAAAAGACTAAGTCAGGTATGTGCTGACTCAGCAAGGACTCTATAAAAGTGGAACTCAGTTCAAGTTTATTTAGAAAGCACCAAATCAAAGGTCCCCTCAATGACCTTTGTACTGTAAGGTAAAGACTCTTAGGTAATAAGGATCGCAGTGGGCTCATTACTAAGGCTCGCTGCTTATTTTCTAACATTACACAGAGCAACACGCCAAGCACACATATGTGTATCAAGACAGATACACATCAGTACAGCCACCTCTGCACTCATTAGATGTAACTAATGTGTCTGAAATCTAAGATTAATCTTCACACAAATGATTTCTTCTGATCTTGAAAATGTTATTTTTACAGCTCAGTTCAGTGACTGTGAGCTACACACACACACACACACACACACAAATGCGCTCACTCTCCTTTGCTGAAGTGTGTGAGTGTCCTCTTGTGTTCATAACGATGTCCTGCAAGTTTGCAGACATATTTCAGCCAGAAATGATCACCTACACAGCTCTGGTTTCTTCCTCAGCATGGATGTGCTGTAGGTGTCATTATGTGTATTTAATATGAAGCCATCATTTAGCAGTCTCAAAGGATTAATTACTAATGAAGCTGCTCGTGACCATTATCATTGACACGTGTCATTGTCCACCCGAGATTTACTTGTTCTTTTAATGACTCTGATTCTGACTGAAATGAAATGAATACATTATACAGATATGAATACAGCTGGTTTTATTTAGACCTTTCACAAAACACTGTTATGACCTGTCCTGCTGCAACTAATAAGACAAAACAAAAGATCTTGACTCGTTAATCTTCATTACTCCATGCTGGATACACTGGATGTGACTGTTTCCTTCATCAAAGAAGTGATTTTTATGTGTCTTCTTAAAAAGACACATATGCTTTGACTTTTTCACGCTCAGTGAAGTTGGGGCCTATAGCGAAAAGCTGCTCAGATGATGGTGTCATCAAATGAAAGTTATCAAGTAGCTCAGGATGTAGAGCGGGTCTTCTACTCATCAGAAGGTTGGTGTTTGGTGCCTGGCTGCTCTCAGTCTGCATGCCAAATATCCTTACACTTCCTTCAGAGTATAAATGTGTATGAATAGAAGGCACTTACGCTTTGAAAAAAGTGCTTGTACGAATAAACGTGAACGAGGCAAATTGTATGAAGCATTTGGAGTGCTCTGATAGAGTAGAAAAGTGCGCTATAATAACCAGTCTATTTAGTATTTAGCAAGGACAGCAACCACAAAAAACAGGAAGATGTCGCATGTTCATAAACAGGGATTATACTGGCAAAGGACGAGTTGATTCCTTAACTAAAAGCTGGAAGAGAAAGTGGAGACGTGAAAAAGAAGCAGAGTGCTTTGGGTTGATAAGAACATGCTTGTATAGCCGGCTGCCAAGAAAATACAATAA